GACCTTGTTGGTACACTTTGACAAATGGAGCAGTTCATTCGAAACCACGATAACATGGGTCAAAGCTATCCACAAGAATGCCTCTAGGGTGGCAATATGAGGGTACAAACTGCCGGAGGCATAGAGGTGGTGGATCGCCCTCAGTGAATGCAGTACGTCAAAGTACACTACCGTATATACGTAGTGATAGTTATATCTGCAAACTAACCAGAACGACTGAACCAGTTCAATCATCAGAGCCGTATTACAACAGGCATATTTTTGGAGTGCCGCACTATGGGACTAAAACCTCACTACCGTATATACGTAGTGATAGTTATATCTGCAAACTAACCAGAACGACTGAACCAGTTCAATCATCAGAGCCGTATTACAACAGGCATATTTTTGGAGCGCCGCACTATGGGACCACGTAAAACCTCATTGTTAGTAATTTTGTATTCCAGAATCATCGATCGTCTGGTGCACCATAGCTTTGTCGTCGACAGGTGAATATTCCAAGATTGGGTACAAAAGTTTGCCGCACCGGTGCTACGGTTAGTCATACGGATCATCACTGCTGATTAATCAAAGCGACAGCTTGTGTTACGTTGGCGGTGCTTTACGGTGAGCGTGTGTAACCTGCTGAGGTCCACTTGCCTGCAGCCAACCACAGGACTTGAGACCACCAATATTTGTATCTTACGTCAGTGGGGAGAACGGAAAAACAGGTTGTCGCAAACGCATAGGCAAAATTAGAACGTGCACAAATTCGAAGCACACACGGCTACTGAAGCTGTGTGTAATCAGCCTGTTTTGAGCAGAAACGCCGACTGAAGCAAACGCTACGTGTGAAAAAAGATGGTGCAATAACTTGATAGCGCTTGTAGCAGTCACTCACTAGGTCACGCGACCTACAAACGCATAAATCACGCGACCTACAAACACAGAAATCACGCGACAAATCACGGCTTGCAACCTTGACTGACAACATGTCAGTTCGTGTCTGGTACGCGTCGGGGCGATTTTATGGATTGCACACGCCTCAAACCCTGCTACACAACACAGGCCAAGAGACTCTCGGAGAGCGGATCTACCATGCCACGCAGTCCCCGGACAAATCAGGAAAAACATGTGGGAGCCACAAACTGCAGAGAAATCACCACACCTGATTCCGGACAAAATTGAGGAACCACCTGTGTTCAAAACGATTAGAAATCTTTTTGAACTATTTGATTCTGGTGCCTACCGGCCATGCTATCCGAAAGAAGCACGAAAACTTGGATACTGCCTAAGCCTGGACAAGAGCAATCGAGATTGGGTTCCAACCATGTACATTCCGGTCAGGAAGTTCGCCCTTTAACCGCTAAGGTCACTTGAGAAACGACATAGTGTAACCAGGGTAGAGTCACCAAGTTGAACAGGTAACATGCTGGGCTATTTACCCTAGACAAGCCTTGAATCTGTGACACCTGTTAGGCCCAGGCCTAAGTTGCACACGACTTTACGGATCTTTTCCAGATAAGCCCCACCAAAAAATTAACCCCCGCCACCCAAAAAAAATTTGAAAAAAGAGGATATGAAATTTGTACTTTTGGTTTTTATAGAAGAGGGTGAAATTGGGATACGTCATTAATAATTTGCACAAAAAGGTCCGTTTTCCGGTACCTTTGTCTCTAAAGGAACTCATACAAGTGAACTCCAGTCGTTGGATCGACAATGTGTTCGGTATCATTAACCGATTCATTAGTATAATTTATGTCAACCATCGTTTCAATTCCTTGTTATGCTGCCCACATATCGGAGACGATTATTGAGCCGGGAGCGATGCAGGCCTGGATTGTGTCCATCAAAGTGGCCGCAGTTCGATTTGGCATTGCATACATGAACACCTCTTTAGTTTCCCGACAGATCCCTCCAAAAATCCACTGCTGGGGAACGACTCGCCCTGAGTGGTTTTTACGGTGAGATGTTAGCGTTTCATCGATCTCAACGTATAGACCTGGGCCGCCGATAACTGTTGGAGTCTGCAAAAGTCGCCAGGCGCAAACTTCGCGAAGAAAGTTCTTCCAGTCAACAGCGGTCGTGTGGCTGATAGATAATTCCCCTGAGCAGAATTCGATTTTTGCCAAATTTTTGGGTCAGCAATAAATGAATAGAATTACTGTCCTAAACTCCATCCTGGAACGCTCCAGGCAAGTTCTCTTCCGAAGACCAATTTCTTGCCGACACTGTCGGCAGAAAACAGTTGAAAGTGTCATTTGGTGGCCATTGTTGAATAAATGTTGCTGATGCATCACTCCGTGGGTATGCAAAAAACGTATTGCCTTCTCATGAACGAGAGTTGAAAGTGTCAGAAAATTCCTTTAAGGTTTTACGTTTGAACGGAGAAAACTTTTTCCACAAAATGAGCGAATAAGGAATTGTTTTCACCAAAAATAGGTCAAGGTTGTGTGCGTACATTAAATAACTGCGAGAAAGATGCGGGGCTTAACTTTTCGCGCTTGAACTTTTTGCATTAGTGGCGGGGCTTATCTGGAAAAGATACGTCGCATCGGCCGGGGCTGATCATGGGAGCGTATGACAAGAATATTCTTTCGATTAGATGACAGATTGAGGAGGGTGCCTGAGAGGAAGGTGTGCAATTCATGAATCAAACAAAAAACATCTTTTGTATTCAAAATGTCTAAGATTTGAACCCTTTTGAATCTAACTTGATCTCATGACGATTCATCCCCCTTGCTTGCTTACTCCGCCTATGCATTTTTGATCTCCAGTTGTTTTGCTTTGCCGTACCCGCCACTCACGTCACGAAGCGCGGCGAACAGTTCAAGATCCACCTGAGGAAACACCCGTACGTGGTAGCGGTACAAAACAACACCCAGCTGGGTACTAGTTTCGAGGGATACATGTGACACTCGAAAAACGATGATCTCCCGCTCACAGCGCCAATCAAGAACATCCGAAAATCTATCTGGACACGAAACCTCTCAGCGGGTCGGATGTTCTCAGGTGCTTCGAACATAGCTAAATTGGGATTCACCTTGTGTATTGAAGTTTTTCAATCACCCAGTCCAATTAAGAAGAACACAAACTGGTAAGCCACCAAGTTATTGAGTAACGACCGCTTAGATGTCACCGGTGTGTACGCGGGGAAACGAAAGCAAAGCAACCGATAACTAACTGCGGAACCGACAAACACCGATCGGTTAGTTTGTTCTACCACCCATCTAGTAGGGGCTAGCACGCGTGTAAACAGAAGACTGGTTGTCTCTGTCCTATCCTACAGAGGCCTTCACACACTGGTTGTGCGATTCGTAGTGACTTGATGCGTAGTCATACAATGTAACCACTCAGTGATATCAGACATTCTTGCTCACACTGGAAGTCCTATAAGCTAGCGAACACACTTTTCAGTATAGTACAGCCTCCCATCTACGTCGCACATCGACTACCCGCTTCTCACAGATGTCTCCCATTCTCGATAGATTCAACCATTAGTTGGTCGTCTTATACAAGTCATGACACGACGAAACAAGTTCTCATGAGTGCATTGAAAGTGCACACCAAAATTTGTCTCGCCCCTACTGGTAATGCAGCTGACGGATACCGTGTTGTTGGACGAAACCGGTCGTGGACTGTCGAAGAACTTTCAGCAATCCTATGAGTAGTGCATTACGAAAATAGAGGAAGAGATTTTGGAAATCTGACAACACGATACTTCAACTCGCGCACACACAAGTCCTCGCTGAATCAAACAGTATGCGGTGTGATAACTAACGTCGTTTACTTCCGATGACGAGTGGCAGTAGTCTCGGCTGTCAGGCGGCACGAACCACTTTCTCCTAGTTTCTGTAAACTCTCGAGCGGTCATTTACGAACACGTCGGTACACGGTGCTACCAGATAACTTACAGAACGGCCATGTTTCATCCTTATGGATACGACTGGCTGTTGTGGAATCTACAAGGTGAAGACCGCCGTGAAAGACGCTCGATATGATTAGTTTACTCTCTTGGTAAGCTAAGGCACGTGCACCATGGCCGAATCACGACAAGTGTGGACAGGATTTTGCTGATAGACAAGGAACATGGTTTCCAGACCACCATTTGGTCCACTGACGAAATTTTTGAGCAAGTTTGGCAAAGTTCGAATAACTTTCAAACGTTTAAATTGCTTTGTCGATTTTTCAAAATAATTTTGAAACATTTTTTCGAAGGGCTGATGAGTTTTTTGCATAATTCCGACAGTCTGAAACCAATCAGAAAGACTAAAGTTGGCGGACTGAACTCAGGCGGTGTGAGCAGAGCTGAACGTGTACAGCTTAGTTCAGCTCAAGTTTGACGACGATTAGCCTGCCCCACCTTGCAGTACAATCTTGCGCGCTATTTATAAGACTTCCAAAGCGTTAAAATTCTACCTTTCGAGGTTCTAGCTTTGCATACTCAGATGTACATCAGAAATCGGTCATATTTTGCTGTAGACCAGAGATGCGAACGAGCACACGATCAATAATTGAACTCAGTGTTCTCTGGTATCGTTTTAATCGTCCAGCCGTAAAATCCCTTCAATGTCTAGCTGCTATGCCACCCGAAGGACGCACGAGGGCTGGGATACTGCCAGATTTCCCAAGCCTAGACAGGGAGAGTCGAGATGCAGAGGTCGGGTTCGAACCACGGACGGTACGCCTTAGTTCCGAGTGTTGTACTGGTTCGTTTTTTCCGGTTGTCGCAATGTCTTTCTGACTCCGTTGTACCAAAATGCTTTCAGACAGTAACATTCGGAAGGCAGAGACAAAAATCCCAGTGAACAGCGTAAATGATCACTTTGCTGGTGGACACGATGGCGATACAGGGATGGATGAACAAGTAAAGCGTAAATGATCACTTTGCTGGTGGACACGGCGATACATGGATGGATGAACACGTAACTAAACTAAAAATTAGCAGAATGAAATTAGTTTGCAACCAGCACGGATTTAAGGTAACAGGACAGAGAAAAAACGGAAAAAGAAACAAGCTATCGTCTGAACAAATGCTTCGGGGGAATTGCAAATAAAGGGTTGGTTGATCTGAAGGCGAGACGTTCACTCTTCGCCCTAGTTCGTTCGAAAGCCTGTTGTCTCAATTTGCGCAAAAGCCCAGCTGTTGAAACTGAGCGAGAAGAGTTAGTCCGTACAGTGTTGGGACTGCTTCGCCTAAAACCCCTTCCGTGTGTCGAGCCATAACAACCACAAGAGCATGACGTTACCGCTCCTAAATGTGACTGCCTACGGTCATCTCTCCTGGGTTCATCCTCACTGGATTTCAAAAGTGAAAAAGACACTTGCAAAGCTTTGTCAACCTTTTCTGGGAGAGTAAAATTATCTGTGCCTTCAAAGATTTGATCAAATATTTCGCTGTTACTCGATTGCCGCGGCAGGTTGGTCATCTTTAGCCCGTTTGTGATTTCAGTCGAGTCAACAGTTGCCCAAGACATTGTGATCTTGGATCCGATATCATGGAGGTGAATGCTCGGTTCTTCGGTTGTTTCTTGCTCACGAATAAACAACGGACGTTGTGGAAAGTGCACTTTACACAACGACGCTCGGGGAGTCTTCTGTTTGAACAGCACACCATCTGTTTCCATTCCAGTGGACTTACCTAGACTAACGCGCTGCTCGGGTCGCAGTTTATCTGTGGTTCTTGGTACAACAGATGATCGTTTTTCCTCACATGCTTCTGGTACCGTCTCACTTTTTCTAGACTCCATTCTGGCTACCACGGGGTCTCCTTTGTTCTCCAAAGAAGCTGATCTTACTGCCCGCCGCAAAAACAATTCCGCCATGGCAAATTCCAAGGGCACATCAATCAAATTTTCAAGTTCCTCAGAAGGCACATCTATCCCACACATTGAGACCAAACTTTGTCTATCAGAACGCCCTTTTTCTGTGGTCAAAATAGATACTCGGCTGTTGGGCATTTTTTGAGATGCGGCAGCTACTGATTCACTGTCCGCCGAAACCAAGCTACTCGTGAAAGTAACGCGGACATCGTTTGGATTATTTGCACTGGGCTCTCGAATGGGAAAGGACGCAGAAAGGTCATTCGCTTCGATTCGTTCAGTTGTACCAGCTTGCTGTTCCGACGCTGAATTCTGCACGAACAACCGAATCAATTCCATGTTTTCCTGCGCGTTGCTTTTCAAAATGGCCAATGAACAACGCTGATTCCGTTTGATTGACGAGGCTACCGCAGGCAAGGTCAATGTCAAAGATGTGTCTGATGAGGGACAGTTGACCTTGCGCGGAAACCGTAACGGCATTGATTTAGGATGAACGACATGAAGGCCAAAACTGGACGATTTATGACTAACACGCCAACAGATTGAAAATCCAATCGTGCCCAGATCAAACTCGTGGTAGAGAGCACCATCCAGAGGGACAAACAGACATTCTGCAACCGAATTTTGTGCGAAATTGTTTAAAATGTGTCCGCATTGTTCAATGCCCAAACATAGAACACAACTAGCTGTTTTTTGGCAGACTTTGTGGTAAACGTTGAAAGGAAGGATTTCATACCAACTTTGATTTAGAGACCATAGTGGTAGCTTTTCTAGGGAGTAGTTTGGCAAGACACCTGAGTTGTCTTCGGGGATGAATGCTGCACGAGAACTGGGACAGATTTCACCTGGGTTATGCTCTATACGATGCATCACCTTGAGATTAGGAGGGAACATGTTTACAAGTGTTAAACGGGATTCAATTCAACAGAGCACTGATCGATGGAGGCAGGTGGCAGCCAAGAACCCATGAGTCCGCTTCAGTAACTCCTTAATTACAGTATGAATAAACGAAGCTGCCAGTTGTTTCCAACAGTCGGTTGGATTTGAACACCGAGATTTTCAACGCATATCGAAGCAGTGCACAAAAAACGGCACAGTGGTTGTTCCACATACTCTGCATGTTCAATTACAGACTTACGGACTCATAATGATAGTCTAGACATGAACTTTGTTATCTTGGGATTCACAGGGATCGAGGAGGAGAGCAAAAATCTAGATTGGATACTTGAGAATGAGGCAAAGTCGGCCGAGTATTCACGAATGTTAATCAGTTGTCCAGCCTTCAGAATGTGGCCGAACTGATCCGCAGTACGGTATCGATTAGTTCAAATTCCTATCAGCTGATAGCTGATCAGGTGGAAACACACGTGCCGAACAAATTCCCAATAGAACCCCTCCCTTTTCACTATAAGGTCGGTAAACTGAGAGCCGAACGTACTGTCGTACTGCACAAATGTTCGGCTCGGAATTTGGACGTGTTATGGAGAATATCAGAGTTGACGATGTTATTTCAGCTTCCCTGGATGGACGATTCGAATTGGGGAATCCCCAGTGAGTGCAGCAAATGAAGCGGTCAGAAATGAAGTCATGTGTTGAATGATACTCGGTTATGCGGTACCAACTAGTCTGAATGTAAAACAAAGCCTACCACAGATGCTCACTCAACGCATTGTTTACAAGCAAGGGTACCGGCTATGAAACCGGCGGTCTTGCTCATGATAAGCAAGAATGCACACTCAATAGTTAGTTAGTTATCCAGTTGCTGTGGATTTAGTTTTCAAACAAATAAATGTCTGGCAATGTGTCGGAGTACTGGCGTAACGGTGGATACTACTGGCGAGGCATGCGAGTAGTATGTGGTTTTCTCATAAATCCGCTTCGCGCCAAATGAAAAGTGGGATTTATTACGGAATTTATGGAATTGCTTTGTAGCATTCGTTTAAATTTGAATGATAGTCAGGAACACGCGTTCGAGAAGGCGGATGCCGTTTTTATAAAACCAGGTTCATATGAGTTTTGCTTCTCTATCTAATAGTCTGTAACTGTTCAGTTGGTGTTTTCCAATAGATAACTCCGCAGCAAAAGCCTTCTTCCTTTCACTGGTAGCTCGAGGTGTAGCTATTGTTAGTTGATCAGGTGGTTGTTGATCCGTCTTCCGAGATCGGCAGTGCCCGAGCAAATTCAGAGAACACAGGTCGGTCCAAGCAGCATTTCCTTCAGGAAAAATTTCTACAACGGGGCGCAGAGATGGTCCACATCAATGGTTAGACACTGTCAGACATGGCCCAGTCGCGCCCTCAATGGCCCTCGTGCATCCAAGCTATTGCCTTCAATGCATACTTCCCTTCCCAATCTCCCACTGACAGTGCTAGATTTATGCGCCAAGTTATCAGCTCCCGTCTGCGATGCGCAACTACCTACCCCGCCCCCCAAATCATCGGTGAACGAAACTGCGGCAGCTACAACCACTGTACGACGATTACGCGGTTATTACAGCTGACAATGATGATGATGATGACTAAACATATGTTGTGCATAGGTATTGACAAAATCGGTCCACCAGCCCAGCCCTAAATAGAAGACAAGTTCAGATGTCGCGTAGTTCCACTCCGTGTAAAATCGACCTTCTGACACAAACTACAGCTGATGGTCATCATCCGTAGATCTTGGCGGTTCTTAATGGAGAAGACCAAGAAAGACACTAACAAGGCTTGAAGCCGTGGCAATTATCCGCCTATCCCCCCCCACCAGAAACTTGTGCCAAAAAACAGGTGCACTACTCAGTAAGTAGTGAGGCCCCAGAAAACCGAATCCCTGAACATTTCGGGAAGTCCCGTATCTCATGATTTTCGCGCGAAATAGTCGTTTAGTCACATAAAACATTGTTGTTTTTACACGCGGAGGACGAATGCAACAGATGATCCTTACAATCTCAGTATAAAGTGCAGGACAAACGTGGGACAAGAATTGACCAATAAAAACGAAAGACTAGTTGTCCCTGAACGGATGCATATGAAAGTTGAGCAACAACGATAGACGAAGTGTAGGAGGCGTACGGGTCAGACTTGAAATCGTTCGTTTACATGACATCAGGACCCTTCAAATGAGTGCGAACACTTAGGTGGGAGCCTCGGTTGAGACCAGCTACCGAGAATGCAAAATGTTCTTTGACTGAGGGTGGTGCGTGCATACTGGAACAGGTTTTCTAACGAACCCACCAATAGCATTGTTAAATTTTTGTGGTCTTCCGGCTCGGATTGCGCACCATGCACTTACCGCATGACTACTTTCAACCTTGGCAACAGATTTATTAGTAAATGCAACCTCATCAAGGAATTTTTTTCGAGAGCTGTTACGCCAAAAGCATTCTCCCATTAGTGTATATGGGAAGACGGCTTGAATGGAAGTGAAAAACCAACCGGAACGGCATCCATCACCACTGTGTTGGCTGAACCAATGTCCTATCGGGGTCTGACCGTTCATCTCGATGGTCCTCAAACAGTAACATCTGAATACAGTACATAAAAATAACAATCGTTCAGCTGTAACACCCTTTCAGTGCCTAGCTGCCATGCCACTCGAAGGAAGCACGAGGGCTGAGGTAATGCCAGGTTGCCCAAGCCTAGACAGGGGAAGTCGAGAGGTAGAGGTCGGGTTCGAACCACAGACCTTCCGGTCAGCAAATTCGCACTCTAACCACTGAGCCATCTCACCATCTTAATACTTATAAGGTTTACGCGTGTATGGGTGCAAACAGATCAGCAGTTAGCAAGCTGGTATAAGTTGCCTCTCGAAAACAGTACCTAAAGAGACATCGAAATGTTCACTACGCCCATTTCCACCAATCCTCATCTGGCGTCGAAGTCAGATTTAGGTAAGTGGAATGGGAGCACGAGATCCTACGAGGTTTATGTTGGGTATACTGCTTTACAATTCGCACAAGGAATGAGCGCTTCGGAACTCAAAAGACACGATAAAATGTTCGTACAGTGAACTATGATTGCTGGAGTGTGTTACTGATAATTTGGATACCAGCAAAACAGAGCTCACTTGGCTTCCCAAAGAATCCTGTTAGATGATCTACCGGAGGTCTCACTGAGGGCTGCTTACTTGGTATACAACATCGTCTGGTCGTATCATCATTATCATCGTCAGCTGTAAGAACCGCGTAATTGTCATACAGTGGTTGTGGCTGCCACAGTTTCGTTCACCGATGATTCGGAGAGGTGGGGTAAGTAGCTACGCATCGGAGGCGGGAGCTGATAAATTGATGCGTAGATACAGCACTGTAAGTGGGGGGTCGAGAACGGAGCTATGAGTTGAAGGCAATAGCTTGGATGCATGAGCGCCATTGAGGGCGCGACTGGGCCATGTCTGACAATGTCTCCAGCCATTGATGTGGACCGTCTCAGGTTCCCCATCCAGGAAAATGGCAATTACCAGAGCAGCTGAGTTTCCTGGTAATGGCTTTTATACTTCGCTGCCAAATCAATGTTTGACCGCCTCTGGCTCTCTTCCATCCCTCACGTGGTTGTGTGAAAAGAGCCCTTCGAGGAAGTCGGTCGACCGGCATACGCAGCGCGTGGCCAAGCCAGCGCAACCTATGCAGTGTGATCAGTTCATCTATCGAGGGTGAGTTGTTTCTCCTGAATACCAATCGACGTACTTCAGCATTGCTGACCCGTTGTTTCCACAAGACTCAGACAATGCTCCAAAGACATCGATGGTCTAAAATCTACAGTCTTTTGACGTCTTCGGCGCAGAACGACCAGATTTCTGACCCGTACAGCAATATGCAACGCACTGCAGCATTGTAAACTCGATCCTTGACGGATAAACTGATGATACGCCTACGCCACACATGACGCAGGTTCACAAAAGCTGTTCTGGCCCTCCCAATCCGGATGGAAATATCATCTTTCGTAAGAGGCTATCTTTGTCGAAATATACGACAAAGTAGTGTTGGTACACCCTCACCCTGCGAGTTGCCGCGAATTAAGTTTGGTCCGGCTTCTTCAAGACCATTCGACGAATGGCACCAGGTGGCCAGAATTCTTTATCAACCTGACACACACACACAGTTCTTAAAGAGAGTCTGCTCCTCTCTAGCAAGAATGAAACGGTTATCGGCTTTCAGCAAGGATTAGTTTCATAGGTAGAGTGGAGATGGAACGCCCCCCCCCCCCCAAAGCTTCTCACTACAAGTAACCCGCACGGAAAAGGTGCTTGCCAGAATTCCGGTAACCTTGTTAGTCCAGCTTTTTTGTTGTGGGTAATCTATTCCCTATTCCATTTTACAAAACGACAGCAAATGCAGGGCCGCTTGATGGTCCCAAGTGGTACATAAGGGTTACTTCAATTAACACATCAACGGTTAAGGTGTGATCACTACGCTGGTTCTTGTAATGGCACACTTCGCTTGGCTAGGCAGGGTCTGGGAGGTAGCATATAAAACAGGGAGGCGGGAAGAAATGAAAGTTGAACAGATATAACATGCACTGAACAACCTCCCCCCCCTGCACGATTACACGACAGTAATGACTCGACACATAGCGGCTTCAGTTGTTCTAAACACTGAACGAGCGGACGATAGAGAAGCGATGCGTTTATTTACACTACGTTTACGAACCCCTGAACAAGCAGAGTTTTTGGGACAAACCATTCTTCACACAACCGTGAAGAGGAAGAAAACGGATGAGTTGTACGGGATAATAATTGCGAGAGCAAAAGAAGCCGGTGTTGTTACTGCGGAAGAATTCGAAACAAGGCAAGTCAGATTATCGTTCCTACCAGAGAACGTGGTTGTAGGATGAAAAACTGTGATATCCGAGTAGGCTGAACGGGCGATCCGCCAGGCTGTCCGTACAAGGAGCGAGATGACTCGTTAGATTCAACAAGCCTGTTCGGAACCTCAAGTGGATAGCCAATATTTGCCAACTGTTGCTGTTGTTGGTGTGCGGAAGCCTCGTTCGTTGTGTACAGCTCGTCTGAAGAACAAAGACCACCGAAGAGGAATACACAGCCATGGGCAAATGTACAAGAGTAGCCACGACATTCTTGCGGGCCAAAGAGCAAGTCCACATAGTTCGGCTGTTGCGTTGACAGCCAACGGCCGGAAGCGAAAACCTGATGCGGTGCACCTGTAGTGGGCACAGATGAGTCTTGTCTTTGACAAACACGAAGTTCCAAACTATACAGTGCGATCGGGTTAGAAGGGAACATTTGTTCGTTTGTGGTGAGTGAGCTCGTGCTATCTGGGCCATTGGTTACCGTCTGAGCATCAGCGGAAGGCTTTGTTCGAGAGCCAAATAGACGACGTTCCTGAATGGCCAACGCCTCCAACTGTTTGGCTCGCTTGTCGGCAGAACGGCGAGGGCCTGGCTTTTGCACTTTCTGGTTCACTGAAAAGTAAAACAGTTGCAAACCAGGAAACCAGGCTAAGCGTTGATAACACCAATAAAAGAAAATTAGTTGGAAATTAAAGCCACGGACGATAGACTGTGCGTGGTATGTCCAAACGGACAGCAACTTGTTTCTTGCGTTACACGGTAACAAAGATCGTCGGTTCCGAATGATAATGGCATCAGAGTCGCCCTGTTCACTTGGCACTTGTCTTTAGACTTGAATAAGCTAAGGAACGTTCAGACGGTTCCCCATGGGATTCAGTGCAAATAGTTGCCTTTGTTGCGTGGATTCAGCTGGCCTAATTCGACAGGGAAAACAAGTCCGCATACGGATTCCAGCCACAGGCGACTGAAGCTGATCAAAATGGCCACTAATGAAACCGTAATGGAAAGAAACACAAATACAGAGATATAATTCCATCCTTTAGTCACTTCAACCAGTCAGCAGAACTGTAGACTGTGAGTTGTACCTTTCCCAACTATCCTTAGTTCAAAAGTACGCAGGGGGCGAGATGACTCAGTGGTTAGAGCGTGAATTCACTGACCGTGGTTCGAACCCGACCACTGCCTCTCGACTAGCCCTGTCTAAACTTGGGTAACTTGACAGAACCCCAGCCCCCGTGCTTCCATCGGGTGGCATGGCAGTTATGCACCGAAAGGGTGCTGCGGTTGAACAAAGATATCAGGAAATGTGATTGCGCTTACCAGCCATCTGTTCGTGTTTTCTATCAGTCGACAGAAGTTTGGATGTGTACTTCACAACGAGTGTTTTAACTACACAGTGAACTTTCAGCATTTCCGTTTTCGTAAAAACGGGTAGGCGCATACCGTGCACGGCATCAAAAGAGTGCAAACCGTTGGTTGTCTTATTGAAATGGTGTGTCTCACAGGTTATACGCGGTGACAAACATCTGTCGTACGGATAGTTCCAGAGCAAGTGCCCAAAACTCCGCCAGATGCCCGCAAGAATTCGCTAGATGTCTTCTTTCATGAAGCGATGAACTTATCTTTCGAGTAACTTTTGAAAGTAAGATGCTCTAAATAATTTTTAAATGGATTTTTAAGCAAGGGTCCATTCTCTAGGCGATATACAGACAACCATGGCAACTTTCAGGTCATCATCATCGACAGCATGACATCAGCATTCAACACCGATGCCTTGCTGCCGTACAACCATGACACATTTAAAAGCCTTAGTGTGAAGAAAAGAATAAAGGTGGACGGGGAAGGGACTTAGTGCTCGCGTACCACAATCAAACCTCCAGACACTCACTCAGGCAATCCGGATAGAAATTGACAACAAGATCGCCATCGGTTCGCAGCCATATCTTGCGACGTCTCTGCAGCGGCGCAGTGGGGATCACGCGGTCAGGTACCGTGCTACTCGAAGGGAGCACGAGGTCAGGTGCCGCCAAATAACCAAAGCAGCTGGACGACTCAGTTTTGACGATTGTCCGGTAGGTTTTTGTCGCTGCTATCCCAAAGTCTTCCCAGTTGAGTCACATCACTACTTGCTACTTCACACGGGGTTACCGAGACTGCAAAACACGACAATGCATTTGTAAGTAGACATTGGCAAATCAGTTTGTTTTTCACGAGAGACTCAACTGCATCTCTCGTTTGTGATATTCTACAACTGAAAGTGCTGCACTCAGGCCGCCTCAGGTTTCAGTTGGCACGATATTCGAGATATCGCAGTATATTTTCATGAAGGAAACTACTCACAAGGTTGCTGAAAACTCTTCGACCAAATTGATTTGCAAATGAGGGTATTTTTCGAAAACGGTGCAATTTGGGTTCGATTATATCATAAGGTTGACGGAAACTCGGGGACTGCGCCGATGAGCCCCAGAAAGAGCGAAACCGGTCGTGGGCTGTCGAAGAGTTTTCAGCAACCTATGAGTAGTTTCCTTTATAGAAGTCCTTACCTTGTCGTTCTAGAAAGAAGCACGAGGGCTGGGATGTCCCCAGGTTGCCCAAGGCTAGACAAGGGAAGTAGAGAGGCAGAGATCGGTTTCGAACCACAGACCTTCCGGTCAGTAAATTCGCGCTCAAACCACTGAGTGACCTTGAGTCTAGGAAAAACGCGTCTTAAATGGGTGATAACATTTGCATTAATCGCAGCGATGGATTGAATAGAACGAATATTGCACCGTTCCCTCATGTTATCTTCTTTAGAAAAAAGTGACATGAGTCAGTCCTATTGCCAAATACAAGACAAAAAGGGCAACTAACCGGTCGACGAACAATCCGCCTGAGGAACGGGTGGTTCTGAATTTGGGGAAGATCCTGAAGAGGAAGAATAGAAAGGGTCGCCACGACGATCACAACCTTGAGTGGTACTTGGGTCGGGACTAAGATTATCGCAAACGGGTGACAATCCAGATGGTGAACGTGGGGGGCAGGGTCGTGAGAAAAGACTGGTGCATGCTTTCTGTCTTTGCCAACTTCGACGTTGTCTAGCTGCTTCTTCTAACAGCTGCTCAGTTGGTTGACTGACACACACCACCGTAAAACTAATGACCTTGGTGGTGGCAGATGCATCGTCCTCCCGAACTTGGGCTTGAATTCCATTCAGAGCGAGGTCCTCAAAAGTGGGATAGGTGTCGTCCGCGTCAGAATCCCTGTAAGGCAAGTTGAGGATGGTCGCGTGCTCGAAGTCGATTGGCGGACAACTGGGAACAGATGTAGAACAGCTAACTTTGGTCCAAAACCAGGTTGTCGTGGACCAATCTGAAACAGAAGGACGAGGCGGCGGTGGAGTGACCAGAAAAAGTGTAATTCGATACACAAAGACCCTAAGTGAATTTCGAACCTCGCCCGTCCCGAATTTATTCATGTACAAGAAGAGGATCGATGAATTCGGCATCTTAAGCGATTGCGATGAGTTCACAGCATCCTAGTATGTCAGTTAAAACAATCGTTCAGCTGTAGCACCCTTTCGGTGCCTAACTGCCATGCCACCCGAAGGCTGCACGAGGGATGGGATACTGCCAGGTAGCCCAAGCCTAGACAGGGGAAGTCGAGAGGCAGAGGTTGGGTTCGAACCACGGACCTTCCGGTCAGTGAATACGCGCTCTAACCAATGAGCCATGTCACTTCAAGGATGTACAGCGAGAGGGATTGATTGAAGGTCTTGTAATGTGAATTGTCTAAGTCTCCGACTACAAACGAAGATGATTACTTTCAAACTCAGATCAATGGAAGCCCTAGTCACTAACCCGCCGCTACGCACCACTACACTCCCCAATAACGCACTGATGATGTCACCTCGATTGGTGATGAAATGTTTGCAATCAAATCGCCCAGCTCAGCGGAAAAGACAACAGCCAACTACGCTACCTGAGCTACCAACATTTTCCTCTATGGAGTACCAGTATTTATTGTTGGTGTAACGCTGCCGCGAACGACGGCGGTATGGGTGGCAGCAACAACAAGGTATACGGAACCGTAAAGACTTGGAGATAACAGAACTGACGAGCGCTAACCTTCGCCAGGTTGTAGACCACATCTTGTTAATATCCATAAATCAGCTACTGGATCGCCACGATACCTCCTCATCGATTCTTCCTGCTGCTGTCGCTCTGCCGAAGGTAGTCTTTGTCGGCGAATCGGAGGTTCGAAAGACGGAGATGCTGGTGACTCTGAGTTACCGAACAACACCAACATTCGGTGAGCGTCCAAAGCACACACCGAGTGACCCCATCGGCCTGGGGGCCATGCCGACAATACAACGCCTGAAGTAGTTTGGTCTGCTTCACTGACTGCGAGCCACTGGCCACGTGTTGGAGCGAAGATGCACAAGTCGTTGATACATGTGCCTTGGGAGAGTGAAATTCCGCCGAAAAGGACTAAAAGACTAGGTTCGTCAACGGAGCCCCCCGGTAAGAAACAGCCCGACTGTCCGACGCAGACTGGTGGAGGGTCGGTTGTCGCTTGAGTTACGTGACATAGAGGCAGTCGGGACCACAACAGATTCGACGGGTTGAAGCTGTACAAATCGGATAGGCATTCAATTCTACCCTGAATACAAGCAAAGATGAAGAATCATATAGTCGGAGCAATGACGAGGAGTTGCGACGACACCAAAGACATCCAAATGGCCACTGAAGATACATGGAACTAAAACAAGGGTTATAAGATCAATAGGTGAATATTACTCAAACGAGATAACTTAGTATCTCGCCGACAAAGACGCTGACAATCAGTCCACAAAGGTATCCAGAATGTCAGATTTCTGAAAGTAACCACAGAATGCCCGGAATCTACTGAGACCTCTACTTCACTAGATGCCGACCAGATAGCCTGAATCAAAGTCAAACAGCGCGAGATAGCGTTTAACCAAAGCCATACAGTGCTCTAAATAAAAATACCTCGACGCCGTCGTACTTTCGCACTCGCACTTGCTTGTTCGCAACAAAGCTGTTGTGTTCAATGTCGGTGAGTCTTTTTTCGTCATTAGGAACTAGGGGACAGAAGTCAGATATAATAAAAGACTTTGTATTGAGAACTCGATGTCTGATTCAAGCAGATACAGGAACATGAAATGTATTACAGACCTGTTCTTCGCGGCTGTGTTGTCAACCACAGTGAGACTTCGTGGTGCCTTGGGTTACGGCAGAGGAAGACTCGCAAACTTGGAATCTACAATATCTCACCAAGTTGTGCACACGAAAACTAGATGAAGATACGTGGAAGCTAGCAGAGCAAGTGCAGGCACGACCAAATCAATTGGGTTGGGAGAATAAAACCTGTGTCTACCTGGGTTGTCAGGTTGAAAGACATGGGATGCTTGGATTGTTGTTCTCGGATAACTGAGCGCAGTTTACCTGCAGAATTCCAACGACTTGGTCAGGAACCGGGATTCGCATCACAGCCAATCAAAGGGCAAATCAGTAACAGCAGCAAAAAAACAGTGAAGTGTATTATGCCAACCATGCGGGAGCGGACCTCTATTGAGTGCTATAGGAGCAACGTAACATACCGACTACAGCGATTGGGTAATACTGAACGCAGAGATTTTGCTACAAAATGCGTACAACAATGTTCACAGTACCGAATGCCTTTTCAAGTCCTTTAGATCACCGCCACACACCTAGGCGAGAGAAGATCGACACAAAAGCGCTGTTACGGCGGTGCTAGTTGAGTGGAGTACAGAACTGGTGCCTCCGAAAACCCCACGTTATGGGTGAGAGGACAGATGGCGTAGAGATAGATAGACGGTACAAAGAGCGCAGAGATAGATCCACTCGCAGATGGACTACGTTGAGAGGGAAAACCTCGCATCAACTTCAGTGTAAACCAGCTCTCTATGGAGAAATGGTGTGGAGCTAGCATACTAACGCTTTGCAAACCGACAGCACTGTCGACCGATAATGCGGCAGACTCGATAGTTGATCAGATGGTCGACGATCTTTTCGCCGAGCTTGGTAATTAGCTTGCAAACGTTTCTTCGCCGGTCAGGGAGACATCGTCAGTGTGAGTTGATTGAGTGCTTCCTCCGTGCCTAGCCGTGTTCATACATTTTTTGAAGAGTGTCTAATATCCTCTCATGTAATTAGCAAAATGGTATATACCTTTCTTGTAATGTTATTGGCCCGGTCGTGATTTGCGCTGCGTTCTGGTCTGTATGCCTCGTATTTCACTGGTTGGTTGAATGGCTGGCCCGTTCCCGGACGGACCAGTCGAAAAGATCAACAACAACCTGATTAACCCGAGCTACAAATATTTCGACACACACATTGATGCAGACTTGAGAAACCGTCCTTCAGTGAATAAACCGCGCCTTCACTGAAGGCGAACTCGGGCTTGAATTATCCAATTAACAGCGTTCCGTTGTTTAGACAGTATTGCAAACAAGGACTGACTTAACCAAAGTAAAGCTGAGCCAATCAATGGACCAATCACAAATGAGCGTATCTGAACATCCAATGAAGTATGCAAAGAGCGGCAATGTTATTTGTGGTCTGATAAAAATACGTTTTTCGATTTGTAAATTGAGATTCCCATAGGGTGGTACGAGTTCTTTCTGGTCGATTTCCAGGAACACAACACATTCGACCGTCCTGAATGAGAAGGGTACACTTTCAAAATGAATATTTTCCTAAACCTTAATTTCCGAAGCAACCGGTGACATCCAGAACCTGTTTAAACCATAAGACACATCCTATACAGATAAGAAAAGAGAATAGTTCAGCTGTAGCACTCTTCCGGTGCCTAAATGCCATAGCACGATGGCTAAGATGCTGCCAGTTTGCCCAAGCCTAGACAGGGGAAGTCGAAAGGCAGAGGTCGGATTCGGACTAAGGACCTTCCGGTCAGTAAATTCATGTTATAACCACCGAGCCAGCTCGCCCCACATCCTATACAGTTCAGTTTAGGTTTTTGACATGCAACATGCAGGTGAACTACGACGTTCCGTAAAGCACAATAATCTTGATCATAAGTTGTGTACGAGTATGAGTAATCTAAATTGTCAGCTCGGGTTGACTTATTCATCCTATCAGTGGTCGCACTAGGGAAATCTTACTCTAAAGCACAACTCTTCATTCATATAAAGGTATTTTTGGCATTCCAGTAAAGGTTATCGGATGCATGCCGTTTTGGTTACAGTCTAATCCGAATGTGAGATGGCATAAGCACAAAAGATACTCTTCAAATTGGACGATGGAGCTCCTCTCTTCTTGAAAATACTTTTCAGAAGCACTCTCTTGGGCAGTGGCGTTGGATTTCCATAACCGCGATCAAAATCAAAATGTTCACACCCTATAAATCCGCTGAGTCAATAGGCAGTTCAGTATCATATGCACCTGGCCACCCAGCCCGTGAAGCGCACGCTGTAAAACAAGTCGCAAAGTATGCTGAAAATGTAATGTACTACTCATAAGGTTGCTGAAAATCTGCTGACAGCCCACGACCGGTTAAACGAGAATTCAGCTGGGATCCAGGTGAGTCTCTCAAAAAACCAAATTAGTTTGCAAATGAGTACATATTCGCTGATTGCGTGCAATTTGGTTTCAAGTAGAACGTGAGGTTGACGGAAACCCAGGGACTGCGCCTACCTGATGAGTCCCAAAAAGGGCGAAACCGGTCGTGGGCTGTCAGCAGATTTTCAGCAACCTTATGAGTAGTACATTACAAAGATATACATGTGTCGCGATATCTCGAATATCGTAGCGACTGAAACATGAGGCGGCCTGGTGCACAACATTCAGTTGGCTGAGATTCAGCTGGGTTCCAGGTGTGTCTCTCGAAAAAAATTAGTTTGCAAATGAGTGTATATGCTGAAAATGCTTTTGATCACACAGGGGATACACTAAATGAAAATGTCTGACGTTTCGACCTGGGGGGGGGAGTGGATTTTATCCTTTGGTTTCATTAAATGTACCTGCTGCGTAGCAATCAGCACCTTCACTATGAGCAGACAACCTACCGAGTCTGAACTGTTCCAAGGCATCAAAAGTCATTTCGAAATGCTACAAATTATCGAAAACTGACTGGTGTGCACGGCCTTGTTTAATACAAGTAACAATCACACTCAGCTGTAACACCTTTTCGGTGCCTAGCTGCCATGCCACCTGAAAAAGGCACGAAAGCTGAAATACTACCAGGTTGCCCAAGTCTACACAGAAGCGATCGAGAAGCTGAGGTCGGGTTCGAACCATCGACCTACCGGCCCACAAATTCGCGCCTAAACCACAAAGCTATCCCGAAGTGAGTTCGATGTATTTTGAGCGGCTACTCATGCATACGTGTTTCGGTTTGATGTCTATCGTGTTTCCTACATGAAAGGGTCATTATAGCAAAAGATTTTTTTGCCGAAAGAATTCAAATGTATGACAAGACTGCGACACGATCAGCAGAGAGCAAATTTACACATTGGTAGTTGACAAATACCGATTCGACTGGATACCAGCCATATGAACTCATTGGGCTATGGAATAGATAACTTACTGAGTTATGCCAACTGGGTTGGTGAAAGCTCTGACATCCACCGAATACGTACAAGGTTTCACCAATGAAGCCACCTTTGGCGTAGGCACGTGGAGTTGGCAATACACCTTAATTCAGAAGGAAAATGAAAGACAGGGGGTCCGGATTACGTAACACTATCGTCCGTATGTGAAAAACAATAGAAAATAATAATTATTCAGCTGTAACACCCTCCCTGTGCCCAACTGCCATGCCACCCGAAGGTTGCACGATGCCAGGTTGCCCAAGCCTAGACAGAGGAAGTCAAAATGCCAAAAACTCAGCCATCAAGCTCATCATTCACAAAACTACCACCTTAAAAAGTGTCCACACGCACAAAAAACACCACTGAACAGTGCTTGGTCAAATCCGATGTGTGACGGCATGAATACCGAGCTCAATAAATACTCATGGCCAGTTCGTTGCCACGAGAAAAAACAGTATATGCTGAACAAGCATTCACATAACAGTGTTCTGGTGACTTGTAACAGCGCACACGTTCACACTCACATGCTCACAGAACACTTGCATACTTGGGCGAGATGGCTCAAGTGGTTAGAGTGCGAATTTACTGACTGGAAGGTCCGTAGTTCGAACCCACCCTCTGCCTCTCGACTCCCCAGTCTAGGCTTGGGCAACTTGGCAGTATCCCAGCCCTCGTGCAGCCTTCGGGTGGCATGGCAGTTAGGGACCGAAAGAGTGCTACAGCTGAACGGTTTTTTTTACCTGCACATCAGGCACAATCACGTGTCAGTGCGCATTTACGTGTCCGATTCTGGTGCTATCTGAAGTGATCTAGTGCGCCGTTTGATCGTAATGTTATCTAACCACCCAGGTAAACTAACTCAACTATGCATCGCTGTCCACCGAGTCCAGTTCAGACTGCTTATACAAAGTGAATAACGACGTGATGGCGCAGTGCTATGGAGATGGGGTTCAACGCAGTACTTCCTATGACTTCCGGTGGTTGTACCCATTCAGCTGCAACACATTTTCGGTGCCCAGCTGCCATGCTACCCAAGGGAATCACGAGAAGTGGGAGACTGCCAGGTTGCCCGAGCCTAGACAGGGGAAGTCGAGATGCAGAGGTCGGGTTCGAACCACGGACCTTCCGGTCAGTAAATTCGCGCTCTAATCACTTGGGCCATATCGCCCGACCAAACATTAACGGAATCCTCCAAGATTTCCGTAGATCACAAGGAAATACGACATTAGGTTTCATGAGTGCGGAAGTATGCACCGGAACCCGACAACCAAACTTGCTCTGATTCCTCTGAGTGCTACGCGATCAATGACTTCTCAAAAAATGAAGCATTTGTGTATTACTGCCAATACAACCCTCAATTCTCGGGAAAAATATCTACCCTTTGGTCTCTTTAGACATTGGTACCTCTCTCGAAAAGAACTGAGAAACAGTTCTCATGGTCGTTAGTCCTGTGCAATCCACCATCATTATGTGGTTTCTGAATGACTGCTTCTGTGTACGGTTTCAAGCATGGCAAAGGTCAGCGGTGGAGTATGCAGTTACCGGCGTACCATTCCGATGCTGTCTACAGGCAGTCGCTAGCTTGTTGTGTGCAATCTCTTCCAAAAACTGGTCTTATTCGCCGACGCCACGCCAAGGTTTTTTCATCCAATCAAGCCAAAAGTGCTGTTAGATCATTCTAACGACTCATTGTCGACTTGACAGGACCCAGCCTATCGCCAACGTACAGTGAATAACTACTTAAAATGAATGATGACGATTCGCGTTTCTCGTTCACTCTTCCGTGCCGAGATATGACTTCCGACCAGTTTGCAAGTGATTTTCCATAATTCACACGCCTTCTGACATGCGCTCACACACAAGCTCATCTTTTCTAGTCCCTAGAGTGACGATTGCCTACGAAGGAGCCGAGGGAAACATTGATGAAAGTGCTGTGCCGGTTATGAAGCTACAGCTCATCGACCGAAAACTGAGCACTCCTGCAGTATTCACCGAAGTGTACTCAGCCTTTTCTGTATACGACAGCAAATGCAACGCCTCGAGAGAGGTAGTTTGTGTGAAACCGAAAGTTTACTTTTAATGTGTCGCTCCAAAGCCAGCTTTCTAATAAAACCAAACGTCCGGCTCCCGGGATACGTACCATTTGGCGAAGGTAAGCCACAATAGATGCGTGTGTGGCTTGTAGATTTTAATGGGAAAGTGACTTGCGGACAAAAGGAACCAAATATGCTGATGACTGAAACAACTACTGACATATTGGGAAATGTTTGGGACCGGTTGGGTAGTCATCGTTTAAGAGAGGTTTGGTAGACAATCGGTGGATTTTCAAAGAGGAAACTACTCATAATGTTGCTGAAAACTCTTCGACAGCCCACGACCGGTTTCGCCCTTCTTGGGGTTCATCAGGTAGGCGCAGTCCGCGAGTTTCCGTCAACCTTATGGTCTACTTGATTTATAAATGGGCAACCTTTCGCTGGGTCTAAAAGTACAAAATTCAAACAGAGTAAGATCCAATTGACCACCTCCAACCCCAAACCAATTGTTCCGGCACCTCTCGGCGAATACAAGTGAACAAAATTTGTGAACGACCCCAAGAGCAATATTCCATTCCTAGATTGAAAAAGCAAGGCCGCAAAAATCCAGGTTCAACATGAAGGCAACTCGCCCTAACCAATCTATCGAAAATGTCAGTCATCCCCACTAACCAACAAACAAGAACATTAGACTGACCCAGGCATAAGAAATCTCAACGATCGGTTCCCTGACTGCCTTAAAACCCAATCAACCTACTTACCTACTTACTCACTTCGCCTGACGAAGCTTTTGTGTCAAAAGCGAAACGTTACCCAGCAATAAATCCACCGATTGTTTACCAAACCTCTCTGAAACGACCTACTTTCCTGAAACGTCTTCACGACCAAACCCGAAATCTGAGGAAGGTCTGCTGATTACCGTTTCAGAAAAAAAACGATACTCAACCAAACCCCTTGATTATTACAACAGTAGACGAGGGCTACTACGCCAACCCAAATATGGACATGAATGTATGACAGACATGCCCCAATAAACTCCCAAGCAATTGCTTATAGACATTAGTGACACGTACTAAGTCTCACTCACTCATTTTCGAGAAAATTTATGGGTTTTCATAAAAAGCACTCAACTTCCTGAGGTCTGAAGTGAGTGATAATGATCTCAGTGTTATATTCACCTAAATAAAGATTGTATTGTTTCCTCATTTCAGCACCATTATCATTATTAAAGACGGCAACATCCGTGTTGGCACTGATGCCTCACTACCGTACAACCATAAAGTTCGTATAGTTATATATACATATATATATATATATGCAATGAAAAATGAAATGAAAATGAAAAATATGTAGTGAAAAGAAGAGAAAGGGAGTGGGTGGGGGAGGGTTCCTAGTGCTGGCCTATGTCAAGTATTCTGAGGTGCCTACACCTCCAACCACTCAATCAGACAATCTGGAAAGAAACTGACAGCGCGAAAGCCATTGACATCGATTAGCCACATTTTCTTGCAACGTCTCCAGCCAAGCACAGACAGGGTCACGGGGACCTTATCCTGGAAGGCGTACAACATCAACAACACCCAAACTCTTCGTGATCTCCGTCACGCCTTTCTGCCAAGTCATGTGCTGTCCGCCTCGCGGTTTGCGCCATCCTGAAGGAGGCACGAAGAACAACACTCGTCTCGGTAGACGGTGTTTCGGCATGCGCAGCATATGACCAAGCCATTGTAGTCGATAATGCTGGATATGTTCCCATTTTCCAATCACCTCGTTACTAACACGCTGACGCCATCCAAAACCAGCCACGCTTCTGAGGCATCGGTGGTCGAAAACCTGAAGACGCCTCACGTCATCTGTCCGCAGAGGCCATGTCTCGCACCCATACAACAACACAGCCCTTATTGTAGCCTGGTACACACGACCTTTAAGATCCAGTGAGATGCCTTTTTGACGCCACAAGTGACGCAAGTTAGCGAACGTGATTCGAGCCTTTGAGATGCTCCAACTGACTTCATCAACGCACTTCCGTCAGAGCTAATACAACTCATTTCAGCACGTACACTCGAGCCTAAGGGCAATTGCAACCTCATTTCCAGATGTTCAGGCTCCCATCATTGCTCGTAAAACCTACCAAGCCTACCTAAAATCCTTTCTCGTAACACAGTTAAGTCAACGTACATACTTCAAGCGACGCTGTGTGATCCAAGGTTGAATAACTTTTCCATTATTTAAATTGGTTTTCCGTTTGGTGAAATTGACGGTTCTGTGTAGTCGTCTCAGAGTAGTTTTACGAACAAGTCATCCTGGGACAGATGTATTATCTAACAAAAATAAATGGGAACCGGTACTCACCATCTCCCAACACACGTTTCCATTGCAAAAAAGCCAGGTCAAAAACCCACAGGTCATTAAAAGTGGTCCGCATATGAGTAGCTCCGCCAAATACATACAGCGCCTTCCCATTGTTTACCAACATTGAGCCAAAACGTTTCGATGGCGCAGAATGAACGGAAGACCCTTTCGTCGGCTGAGAGGCTGAACTGAGTGTACACCATTTCAGTGGGGCTTGAAGACGATAGGCTGCCAAACACATGTTCGATCGAATTTTGATGACTTCCAAACAAACATCGCGCCAACGCCTACAGACTTGAGATATGTTCGGAAAATCCGTGCATGGTGACAAAAGCATGAAAATGTACTGCAGCAGTTCGACAGGCAGATTTTGGAACATGTGGTATCAATGGTCGGCGTATTACTCGGAGTGAGAGCCAAGGCAGGAAGATGTGATGAGGAGACGCAAAAGATCACGTGTAGTAAGCTTCCACTGGACAGTACGCACACATATTGAACGATCTGTACATCTTCTGAAGCCAAAGAGATAAGAGAATTACGTTGCTCTTGTGAATGACAGGAGAAAGAACGAATGAGAGGCCGATCGCGATTCGGTTTCCGACTGTGAAAATGCAGGTATTCAAACCACAAAATAGGGAGAGGAGAGATGCTCTTGGAAATGCTAGTGGGCACAGACGTGGTGCGTAAGATAAGCAAAATGAAAATTAGCGCGAGAGTGCTGAGTTGGGTTGGTACAAGGAACAGTTTGGGGGGGGGGGCAGATTATGCTGAACAGTATTCAACTTGGTGCCAAAATGTGAGGCAGATGGTAAGTAGATGCACATATATAAATCGTCCAGCTGTAGCACCCTTTCGGTGCCTAGCTGCCATGCCACCCGAAGGAGGCACGAGGACTGGGATACAGTCAGGTTTCCCAAGCCTAGACAGAGGAAGTCGAGAAGCAGAGGTCGGGTTCGAAACACGGACCTTCCCGTCAGTAAATTCGCGCTCTAACCACTTGGTCCATCTCGCCCCGATGTACATACGGAATTTAGTGGGTTTAGTTGACATAAGCAGCACAAGCGAAAGTTTACTGGAACCATGGAGGAGGTCTCTTGCACCTAGATGGCGGCAGAGAAACAATCTAAAGAATAACTTGACCATTTTCTGGACCGCAGAGCAGGAATCCCGGGGGTAGCTACCATAAGGGAATTAGGCGCTAGGGGGTCAACGTCCAGGTTTGTCTTACCGAGTTATGTGCCGATCGGGCCACAGTTGATAAGGATTATGGAGTGCGCTATCGGCCTATTTGCCACGTTGTTCAGGAATGAGGTAATCCTCTTGGGTTGGAGTAGACAGTTCTGCATTTCAAGAAAAATATGGTAGATGTTCACCACAGCACGGACACTTTTATTAGTCGACAAACTTGGTGGTTCTGTGATGTTGAAAAAGAATAGTGAGGTGATGAGGCGACTACGACGAGGAAGCTAGAGTTGGGGTCATTTGGAATGCGGCTGTTTTAGCTTGATATATCATCGGGGATGCAGACAGTGGTCGTTCATCCGCCTATCTCTGAAATCTCGGAAGTCGTAATGCTCCCGGCACGTTCCCTCGCAGACGATATTGCTTTCCTTGGTTCAGATCCCTCACAAATGCGGACGATTTTAAATAACCTAAACAACTCTACCGCATGGTTTGGTATGCACTTCAAACCTGCGAAGTGTAAAGTGCTACTACAGATCCACATCTCATGCTTGCAGGTGAGCCAATCGATACAGTAGATAAATCTGTTCACCTGAGCAGTCGTATGAGTTCCGGTGGATTGGGTGGAGATGAGACCATTTCTTGAATCGGAAAGGCCAGGGTAGCTTTTTCCAACCTCCGACACCCATGGCATCGACGTGACGGATTAGTAGTGCTGAGGTACGCCATATGGTCTTAGGAAGAAATAGCTATCCTGCGATAGATGAATTACACACGCTTCATAGGTTGCGATGGTTAGGAAATGTACTCCGCATGTCAGAAGACCGTCTGCCTCACAGAGCTCTTTCTTCCCAGCCCTGTGCTGAGTGGAAAAGACCAAGAGGTGGATAATGTATGACATGGCAACGAAGTACGAAAACACCAACCAGTAAACTTAGTCGGGTGGGCAACTGCCGCCTTTCTGGATGGGGACCCAGGGACTCAAATCACCACTGGTTAATGACATTGGCGGAAATGGCCCAATCGCTCAGTCAGTGGGCTCGTGCATCAAAGCTATCTCCTTCATTGGTTACTTCCCAATTTCCCGAACAAACTGAACATGCCTTCGCCTCCAAGGCTTGGTTGTACATTCCACTTTCCCATTTTTCGGTGATCGAAACTGTGCCCGCATATGGTTTACAGCTGATAAATTGATTGATCGATTGATTGACACCATTTCGGTACCTAGCCGCCAGGCCGCCCAAAGAGGAGTAAACTACTGTCAACTTGTCCAAACCTAGGGAAGAGCAGTCGAGGTGCTAAGGTTTGGTTCAATCAACGGACCTACTGGTTCAGTTCGAGCCTTAAACACTGAGCTACCGGCGTTAAATTCTTGGGAAATGGGAAGTATGGGAATCCCGCTGCTAACGCGAGGGAGGGAAGAAGGAAAAGTGATGCATTTGGAGGGAAAGTAGTTCTGTCCTCTGCGATTGGTTTGTAGATAGTAAGACGTTTTCCCCTGGCGACCAGCACGTCCATATTGAGGTCAATATGGATGGTCGGGTTAGGAAAGGTTGGCCCGAAAAACCGCACACTCCGGTCGCCCAACGGCTGATCGTGAACGCCGGCGCATTATTCAACACGGTAGAAATGCTTTTAAAACCAGAGCCCGGTGCTGCTCAAAAAGTACCTGCCGTATGCAGCTGCATAAGAAGTGAGATACAATCCGCTACGACCCGCGTCCTCGGGTCAGGCTGGCCTTTCGCAGCCAAGTGGGTTAAACTACTGAATCACTGATTCGGGAAAGTCTCCCAAGAAGACCCTAGCAACCGCTACCTCGCGGTTCAGAGTTTTGAATCGGAGGCTGGGGTTAGTGTCCTCAAACAAAACCCTACACCCACCGCCTCTACTGTCAACTTGTCCAAACCTAGGGAAGAGCAGTCGAGGTGCTAAGGTTTGGTTCAATCAACGGACCTACTGGTTCAGTTCGAGCCTTAAACACTGAGCTACCGGCGTTAAATTCTTGGGAAATGGGAAGTATGGGAATCCCGCTGCTAACGCGAGGGAGGGAAGAAGGAAAAGTGATGCATTTGGAGGGAAAGTAGTTCTGTCCTCTGCGATTGGTTTGTAGATAGTAAGACGTTTTCCCCTGGCGACCAGCACGTCCATATTGAGGTCAATATGGATGGTCGGGTTAGGAAAGGTTGGCCCGAAAAACCGCACACTCCGGTCGCCCAACGGCTGATCGTGAACGCCGGCGCATTATTCAACACGGTAGAAATGCTTTTAAAACCAGAGCCCGGTGCTCCTCAAAAAGTACCTGCCGTATGCAGCTGCATAAGAAGTGAGATACAATCCGCTACGACCCGCGTCCTCGGGTCAGGCTGGCCTTTCGCAGCCAAGTGGGTTAAACTACTGAATCACTGATTCGGGAAAGTCTCCCAAGAAGACCCTAGCAACCGCTACCTCGCGGTTCAGAGTTTTGAATCGGAGGCTGGGGTTAGTGTCCTCAAACAAAACCCTACATCCTCCCACCGCCTTTTGGGTCGAACTTTTGAGCCAAAGGCTCAAGTTGGAGTACCTCAACCAAACCCCATAATTCTCTCTGAGGAACCGGGAAGCACCATTTGCCCTTGCAGCTCTTTGCTCACTGGCCATCCTCCACATCCCCTTTATCCCACTAAATGACGTAGTGCGATGAACCCACCTGTCCTCCTCCTTGCTAATATTCTGCGTAGAAACTATAGACCAGAAAAAAAAACCAAAGTAACCACTAACCAACCGGACCACTACAAAACTTCCAACACAAGCGCTCAAGTCGAGCCACTTAGAGGCCACCAAACCCAAAGAAAGTCATGGGTTCAATTGAACCATGTTACCATCAGTTACCGATGGAGAACCACGACCAAAGATTATCGCTTCTTTTGGGGTTTCAACTTAACTCTGATCATGTCATTGTGCGGACCCGGTCGACATTTCGCTTTGCGTCAGCATTACGCGAGCCAAAGTAGAGCAGTTCCATTCATAAAATTCGAAAAGTTTAAGTAGCCCAAAATTATCAGGCTGATCTGACTAGAAAGCTACTGGAAATGCACAGTCATAAGCATAAATAGGACTGCTTAGAAGTTGAATGGAAACGAGTGGAAGAATCTATGCTCCCGGGTTTCAGGACTGTTTGTCCAAGCCATCCGATTCGATTAAATGAAAAGTGGATATCGTCCAGGTAATCAAATCTTATTGCTGCCATACCAGCAACGAGCGACTGTGATGGCGTACGATGAACCCACAAACACAGGAATATCAGGAGTTTGAAGACTACATGGAGCGCTGATGAATTGTGAAGGCCCAGGAGATGGAGAACGTTCTCGCTGAGGGCAACAGATCAACCGGTCAAAACCAGACAAGTGTCGATGACACGATATGCGAGGAAGGTGGAACGGCAGTTTATTCACAGAATTGTGTCTTGAGTGATGAGTTGGACATCTCAGTCTGTAGTTCAGATAGTCTCCTTCACATTACTGCTAGAAGAACCCGGTGGGTCTCAAAGGAACATCGACATTATCCTCAATAGCATAACATCAGCGTTCAATATTGATGCTCTGGTGCAGTACAACTAAAAGATATTCGGAAACCCTACTTTGAAGAAAAGAATAGAAGTGAATGGAAAGGGGACCTAGTGCTAACCAACAACCACCACTCTAAGGTGCCCAAACCTCCATACACTCATTCAGGCAATCTGGATAGAAACTGACTACAAAAACGCCACTGACACTGATTAGCGGACACATCTTGCAGCGTCTCCAACCAGTCGCAGGGAGGATCACGCGGTCCCCATCCTGGGAGGCGAATAGAACCGACAGCACCCGAACGTTTAGTGATTTCTTTCATACTACTCTGCCATTTCAAGGATTGGCCACCCCTCTGCTTCCGCCATCCTGAATTGGGCACGGAAACAGCAATCTCTTTGGCAAACGATGGTTCGGCATAGGCAATACATGTCCCAACCAACGCAGCTTCTGGTGCTGGACATTTTTTTGATGGAATTACCCGTCACACAACCGAAAACTGACTTTTTAATTGCTTCGTTATGTATTCGCCGGCACCAAACCACACGAGCTATGGTTCTGAGACAACGATTGTCGAACACCTGAAGACGTCTCAGTTCCGCTTCTCTCAGAGGCCAAGTGTGACAGCGATACAACAAAACAGCCCGCATTGTAGGTTGATACACACGTCCCTTGAGATTCAGGGATACACCACGTTGATGGCATGGGTATCTCAAATTAGCAAACGGAACCCCAGCCTCGAAAATATGTGCATTAACCTCATCTGTCACACTACACTCACAACTAATACACCCTCCAAGATGCGTAAAACACTCCACAACTTTGAGTACCTCTTCCTGGACTGTAAGTTGTGTGTTAAGTGTCCGCATGCCCATGAGCGTGACTTTACACTTTGTGGGTTCAAAGTGCATACCAAAGGACGGGATGACTTTGGTCAGTTCATCCAAAAAATACCTGCGCCTTCTCTTCTTCGAAGACGAGAATGATCTCGTCTGCATATTCCAGATCCACAAGGTTTTCTTCACAGGCCATGTAAAACCCGGGGTTTTAGAGACCTTCCAACGTTCGTTCACGAAGTCAGACAAGAATAGAGGGAGTGCGCATTCCTGACGGACACTACTTTGTGTACGGTAGCTTTTGGAGAGCTCACCGTATACTCTCACACGTCCGGAAGTCGGAGAATACGGAGCTTATGTTCACGAACTACCGGCGCTTTTCTTGGTGAGCAAGCTTATCAACCAGAACAGACCAATCAACCGAGTCGAATGCGCCTCGGAAATCCAGGAATACTAGAATTATGGGTCGCTTATACGTATGGCGTCGTTCGGTGGCGCTCGAGAGAACACATGCAGTCGTAAACCTTCGAGGCCGTAGGTGGTTCCACGTTCACCGTCCAGGGTTCTACTTCACCCGAGGACGTCAAAAGACTTTCAGTGTTTGACCATCGATGTCTTCGGAGCATTGCCCGAATCTGGTGGGAACACCGGATCAGCAA